AGGTTTTATTAGATTTTTTTTTCTTAGTTGAAATATGTTAGTGATAGAACTGCATTCACTTTCTTAACTTTGGGACAGTGTCTCCCTTGTGGCCCAGGCTACGCTTGAACTTACCATTCTCTTGCCTCAGCCTCCTACAGGGCTTGAATTACAGAAATGTACCACCACACCTGGCTAGCATGCATTTATTTAAAAGGTAATACAACAAGGGGCTGGGGAGATGGCTCAGTAGAATAAGTGCTTGCCTGGCAAGTGCAAGGGCCTGAGTTCAATCCCTAGTTCCGCAAAAAAAAAAAAAAAAAAAAAAAAGGTAATACAACAAAACATATTCTAACCATTTGTTAAATAGCAGAGATAAGAAAAAACATAATAGCAGAGCCCTTGTAGTTGGGGATGTCTCCTCCTGAAAGATACAGAGAGGTGGCGCAGATTGCTTCTAGGGGCAGGCATTTGGATTGTGTTTGGTCATAGAGCGTTCTCACCTAAGGGGGTATAGAAAGATGAGGGGACAAAGGCAGCAAATTAGATTATATCAATCATGGGAGTCAACAAAATGGATTTTGTTCCTAGAAATAAACATAGAAGACCCGTGTGTGCCCAGAAAACTTACAAGAGTTAGCAGTGTCAGGTTATTGCCAGAGAAGGTTTGTGCTGTCACAGTGCTGTGACCTCACAGGATTTCTCTGTGACATCTAGCTGTGAAGGTAAACTTCTTTCAGTGCTTGCTTCTGATAAATTCAAGAGAAGTTATGAAAAATTATGAAAGTTGGTCCCTGAACTAAGGCTCAGGTTCCTTAGTACATTTTTGAGATGTCCACATTTTGCTAATTTATTCTGTACGTAAGTTTGCAAGCGCACTTGTCTAAAAGGTGTCATAGTCAAATTCTACCGACAGAGGGATGGATTGAAGTATGTGTTTTTATGTTCATAGAATCCTACCTGAAGCAGCCTACTGTAGAACTAAATCAGCCGTTAGCGTGTATAAATGTGTCCTCAGGAAGTGACTGAGTGGGGGAAAGTGTCCCGCACAAGGCTGCTCATTGTCACAGCCGTGTAAAGCGGTCAGGCAAACCCGCTGCTGCCGGGGCCCCTGCTTTCCAGCATGGAAGCTGTCTCCACACATGAAGAGCTTCAC